GAGCCCCACCCCCGGGCCCTCAGCCCCACCCCCAGGAACTGCAGTCCCGCCCCTGGGACCCGCCAGCCCCGCCTCCGGGAAACCCGACCATCAGCTCCGGTCCCGCCCCAGGGAACAGAGGCCGCTCCCCTGGAACCCACCAGTCTCCTCTCAGAGCCCAGAGCCCCTTCCAGAGGGCTCTCTCTCCTGAGTATGGGAACAGGAACATCCGCCAAGGACACTCCTGGCACTGTAGCCACCTAATTCCCTGTGGTCCCACCAAGGTGGGCCCTCCTGGCACTGCAGCCACCAAATTCCCTGTGGTCCCACGGCCAAGATTGACCGAGGGAGTATGCTTCCCTGCTGGCCTCGCCTCCTTCCCAGGACAGAAAGCTCTTAGTGACAACAGTCTTAGATGAATGAGTGAAACCAAATGCAGGGAACCTACACTCACACCGGGGCCCCAGGTCAGGCGGTCCCACTTTGCAACCAGAACCCAAGACCAGCAAGTTCTTGGAGCCTTCCGTTCCCAAATGTATCTCCAGCGCTTCCTGGCTCTGAGGGCCAGAGGGCCAGGCAGGACTAGCCCTGTCCCCAGGCCAGTAAATACTTCTGCATGCTTGGAACCCTTCCGCCTCACGATGGAAGATGGAATTATTGATTCGTGAGAGAGGAAGCTCCGTGGAGGGGACCTTTCGCTCCAATCCCTGCCTGCTTTCACGTGGGTGTCGACCCTATAGGACAGGGTAGAACTGCCCCTGTGGGTTCCCGAGGCTGTCAGTCTTGATGGGAGCAGAGAGTCTCCTCGTTCTCCCGAGGAGCGGCTGATGGATTCCGTCTGCTGACCTGGCCAGGTAGCAGCTCAACACCTAACCCAGTACCCCCTCCAGAGCTCCTTACCTGCGCCCAAACAATCGAAAATCAGCCCACCACCGCTCCATCTGCCTGGAGCCTCAGCGCTCGTCCTTGACAACTCCTGGCTAGTGGAGACCTTTGTTCCAGCCTCAAGCCCTCTCCCACACATCTCCTATCTGCACCGGTGCCTGCTGGGTTGGCGTGGGAAGCCGCTTCAGGCTTCTCCCTCCCTGCCCCCCTCCTGGTGGCTCAGCATCCCTGACCTCCTCTGCCTCCCATCCCCGCCTCCAGCGTCTGTCTGCCGAGGAGGCAGGAGACGGAGACGGCCCCTCTCCTTCTCAAGGTCATGGCTGGCTTCATCACACTTGACCACCCTGCAATAAAGAATCGGCCTTCTGGTTTGGATGTCTGACTGCTAACAGCTGCTAAGCATCACCCTCTTTCTCCCCCCCTCCTGCCCACATCTGAGCAAGCTGATAAGGTGCTCCCCATTTGGGCCTCAGTGGGAAGTGCAAACCACACACAAGAACCCTCGCCCCAGCCCCATCCTCTACCCAAGGTTGTGCCAGTCTCTTTGCCTCGCCCTTTCACTCTGGTTTCAAACTTGGCTCTTCCCCTGAAAGCCTCATGATGCTTTTCTTAGCATCTCGTCTTCTTCAGCCAGAGGGACTTTGCACTGTGTGTATGTTGGGGGTGGGGCAGGCGGCGGTCTTTCCTGTGTCTGCAGGGTATCCACACCACTCCGTCTTGCCCCAAAGCCCCTCTCCTGGCCACTACTTGGCCTTCCCTTCAGGCCCCTTCCCGGCCTCTCTCCTTGTGCATCTGTGGCTGCAGGGGCCCTGAAAGCTGAGACCTGGCCCCACATGCACATGACTCCTGTCCCATTCATCCCACCTGCAGACAAGACCTAGGGCTGGGAGTCAGTGGTGAACAGAGCAGACAGGGTCCCCCTGCTGCAGCCTTGCCCTCTTTCCACAGTCCACCTTCCAGCCAGAGCAACGTTTGTGAAGGTGCTCCATCACACTGGCTCCCTGCAAACAACTCTGTTTACCTGTTGACTCAGGTTAGTGAGCCAGAACACTAGAGCTAAGAAGACGTGCCGAAGATTGGATGTGGAGGTTAGAAAAACCACCGAGGCAATAGAAACCGAACTCACTGCCGCCAAGTCGATGCTGACTCAGAGCAACCCTTCTGAGACTGTACTGCTTTAAAGGAGTAGAAAGCGTCGTCTTCCTCCCACAGAGCAGCGGGTGTTTTCAAACTGAGGACTTTGTGGATGGCAGCCCAACTCGTAACCACTGTGCCACCAGGGTCCCATCCTGGCACTACATGGGCCAGAACACTGCTGTGGAAGTCAATTAGTGATCGCCAGGGCAGGAGGGCATGGAGTCCTGGGGGCGTCGTGGTTAGCATGTAGGGAACGACTCAATGGCAGTGAGAGGTTGTGGGCAGGGAATGGGTTAGGAGCTTCTTTTAGAGGTGGCAGATATTTTCTGGAAGTACAGTCTCCCACATGTGGGTTATATGTCAATAAAGCTCTTTTTTGCAAAAAAACAAAACTGCTTCTAAGGACCGTTGTGTTGTCAAGACAGGCCCTTCCCAGGAGGAATATTTGGGAGCCAGACTCCTGAGCTCAGAGACCTGAGGCGGGAAGTTGAGGGCCCTGGGGATTGGCAGGAGAACAGCTGGCATCAAGATAGTTGTGAGATGTGGTCAGGTTGGTTCTGACCCATACCAACCCTATGCAGCAGCATCACAGTGTGTCCACTCTTCTCATCCAGAGCCTTTGTTGCCAGAGTCGGGGGTCCTTCCAGTTACCTCCTCAAGCCCTGAGAGAGTCCAGCTTCCCACAATGGCTGGGTGGGATTCCCAACCCTTCTGGCACTTTCTAGAGAGGCCTGGCACCTGCACACTGTGCACATACTGTCAGAGATCACAGGGTGCCCACTGCGGTGGGAGGTGGAGGGAGGGCGCGGGGGTAGCACGAGAGGGTTCCATCCCAGTGAGCCTGGCTGCAGAGCCTCCCAGGCTGGGGGGACATGGATGGCAGGGGCCTGTGGGACCCTGATGGATGACACTGAGACCCAGGTAGGTGGGGCCCATGGTACTTGTCTCTCAGATGAGGCTTGGAAATACCCATAATTCAAAGCTACAAATATCGAGTATGTAAAAAGAAGTCAGGTGCGAGACTGGAAGAATAGGCAATGAGGAGGGGACATACCCCACGCACAGCGACTCCAAACAGTAACTGGGGTGATTACCATTTTGGGGGGTCTGCAGTCTTGGCTTAGGGTCTCCCAGGTGGAACATAATAGCCTTGCATGATGGAGACACAGCCAACAAGGACCCCCCTCCCCCCAGGATCTGAAGTGACCCTGGGTTAGCGGACTGCTAGGCAGGAATTGGGCTGAGAAAAGAAGAGGTGAAACTCACTGCCCTTAAGTCAATCCTGACTCAGAACAACCCTCTTTATAGAAAGAGTGCTTCTGAGACTGTCCATCTTGACGGGAGCAGAGAACCTCCATGTTCTCCTGAGGAGCAGCAGGTGGGTTTGAACTGCTGCCCTTGTGGCTGGCAGTCTGAAGCGTGCCCTACAGTGCCAGGAAGACTCTTTAGGAGACCCTAGAGAATCCAGACACGTGCAAGCTCGTAGAGCTCAGAGCTGAGCTCGAGCTTGGGGAAGAGTAGACTTGCCATGGGAGCCGGCTAGCATTGGCCCGGGGCCATATCCCCAAGAGACGGAGGCATGAGTCCATCCAACACAGGCCCCTGACTTCACAGCAGTTCCACTGGTCAATCAGCAGCGCCCCAGCCCCCACCCCGCGACACCGTGGGACAGCTACCCAGGGGAGTGGCCCTTGAGTGTCAGTCAGATGATGTTGACACATGGTGTGAGTCTGGCAATGACGAACGATAGCTAGCTGTGAGGGGCACATCCATGGTTGCCAGGGACTGGAGGGGTAACAGGTGGTCCTTGTGATAAAGGACATACTGTGTCACAACTGTGGTGGTGGCAGTGACACACACATACCCAGTGAGTCCTATGGACCCCATTGATATCAGTTCCTAGTTGGGAGACTGTCCTGTTAGGTCAGCTGAACCGTGGCCATGTGAGACCTCCCTGGGCTGTCATTGGAAAGTCCTGGGGTGCTGTGCTGGGATCGTTTCCAAGTACAATGGGCCTAGTCCTGTGGCACGTCACTTCCATCTGCTCTCGGACAATCCCCCTATCTTCTAGTCAGTTGTTTAGTAACCTTAATTATACCTGCCAAAGCCTCTCGCCAGCTAGTGTCACAATCCACAGGTGACCTCTGGGAGCAAAGGTTCTGGGGGACGAGTGCCTGGGAGCTGATTGAAAGGCCAGGGGTGAGTGGGGAGGGAGGCACCCCTATCCAGGGTGGGGACATGTGGAGTTAGAGGGCCCTATGTCATGGGGGGAGAGGAGGCAGAAAGGGAAGCCTCAAGGGGGCTCAGACTCCCTACAGGTGCGAGGCAAGTGAAGAGAAGTGCTGCCCTTGGGGGGCGGGGGGGGGGACTCCCAGATTCAGCTAGCGACCCTGTAAGACAGGATAGAGCTGCCTCTGTAGGTTGCTCCTTACCGGAGCAGCAAGCCACCTCTTTGTCCCACGGAGCTCCTGGTGGTTTTGAATTGCTGCCCTCAAAAGTCACGTGGAGGGAATGCCACCGAGTGGGCCACAGCAGGTAGTCTGAGTCCTGCATCTTGGCCTCAGCCTCCCACTAGAGGGCAGAGTCGCCTGTGCCGAAAGCGCTCAGTGCTCAGCACGCAGTATGCAGATTCATGGAACGTGGCCTCCCCAGCACGCCTGGGCCGCCATCAGCGAGCCCACACAGCACCCTTGCAGGAAACAGCGAAGCAGGGCTCCCACTGAAGGATGGGAAGAGGTCCTGTGGTGAGGGGGAGTCCTTGACAATGCTGGAGTACCCACAAGCACCCAAAATCCCTGTCTGGCTGAGAAAGGAGCTGGCAGAAACCCTAGAGAAGGCGTTTTGTGGGCGATCAGGCTTTGGTGATGGGGTCACAGCGGAATCTGCTGCGGGAAAAGGGGCAGCAGGTCACCTCTCCCTTACCCACCCAACCTCTCTCAAATTGAAATTCACAGCAAAATGCAGAACCAATGAATAACTGGGCTCAAGGCCCAGAAATAGGCTGCCCTTTCTAAGGGGTGCCGGGAATATCCTCCCAGCTTCCTGTTGCCATGGTTTCCATTGAGCTCCCAGGCATCTGCCCGGCAGCCAAAGCCAGAGCGGGAGGAAGAAGCCAGTCCCCGGGATCTCGGCAGTGTAGAAGCACGTGCCAGGATGGATGCAGCGGGCCTCAAGGTCTCTCCCCACATCCCATGGCCGGGCTCTGCACCCCTACGTAGGATAACAGCGGCCCAAACCATGCCCACTGGGCCTATAGACCCCCAGTAGGCCTGTGCACCCCTCGTTCACTGCTATTAAGTCCATGCTGACTCATGGCGACCCTCTAGGACAGAGAAGAGCTGCTCCTGGGGAGCGACTGGTGGTTTCAATCGGTAACCAAAGGCTGAGCTGCTCTCGCTGCTGTCTCTGGGTGTTCCGGCCTAACAAGCTCTTAGGGTCAGCTCCCCTCTCCTCTCCTTGCTGCCTTGCTGGGGAACAGGGGAGAAGTCCCCACCTGGAGATGGGCTCACAAACAGGGTTAGGCTGGGGCCTGCAACTCTCCCCACCCCCACCCCGCACCCCCACCCCTGCCCTCGGACACTCTCCAGCCACTGTGTGTTCCGGCTACCCCACCCCCAGCCCGGTCGCCCATTAACTTTTCTAGTCCTTTTCAAGGATTAAAATGCAGGCCAGACTTAACTCCTGTTCAAAGCTGGAATGGGCTGGAATGAGAGGTGGAGGGGTGCACTGACTTAACCCCTTCACCCTCCTGCCACCAGCCCAAGGTCACAAGAGGACTAGTCCAGTCTTTGCCTGGGTTGGATGTCGCCCAAGTGGTACCTACACCCCTTTCCCTGAGGGAGAGAGAAAAGGGTCCTTCTCCCTGGGGTCAGCCCTCCAACATGGATAGGCTTTCACTGGGAAGGACAGGGGGCTGTGGGTGTGGGATAGGAGGGCTTGGGCAAAGCCCAGAGGGGTCACGTGGCTGCGGGGCTCCCACGACTGGGGTGGTCCACTAGTGCCTCTTGAGGGTCCTGAAGGCAGAGAAAAGCCCTAGTCGGAAACACTGGTGGTCGGGCTGTGGGCGGGGTGAGGGGCGTATCCAGAAGACAAGAGAAAGACACTTGAGTGAGGGGGGGGTCTATGACGACCTTGGTCTTCAGATCACAGTGAATCTGAGGACGTCCACCAGCTGGAGTCTTCTTGCCCTGCGCCCCCCACCCCCAGCTCGTGCCTCATTCTCCGGGCCATTCAGCCCACTGCCCCCAAGTCACTTCAAACTGCAGGGCTCAGCAGAACTGCCTCCCCTTTCTGCCCAGCCTTCGCCCACAACACCACTAGGACCTTACTTTTTCCCAACTTTGGGGCTTTTAAGAACTATAAAAAGAAAAAAGGGGAAAAAAAGAGAGCAGCAGCACGCACAGAGGAATGCAATGTGGAAAATGCCCTGATACAGGCTCCGGCCCAGATGACCCTCAGGGACAGAAAGTTGAGCAAGAGAAGACCTCACAAAATGCAGAGCCGGAGGAGGCAAAAGACCTAGATCCCAAGGCACACCATGTCAGCAAAGGGGAAGGGAGCAGGAGCCGCTGGGGCGGTCAGCAAAAAACAAAGCAGGGAGCATTCCTCCCTCTGGGCAACCGGCTTCTAGAACAGTACACGAAGGCAGGCCTGTGGTGGCCCCCTGAAGGCGGTCAATGTGTTAACTCACTTCCCCTCCCATGGGCCCCTGCACGGATGAGGAAGTGAATACCTGCCCAGGACCCACAGTGAGTAGCGGCTGGAGGTGGGGGTGCCTGATGGCCACCATCACAGCCATCTATTTCCAAGACCCGTTCCCATTTCCAGATCTCGCTGGGCTGTGGGAAGCACATGCCTCACCAGTGAGCCTTCGGTGTTGGGCAGAACCATACGGCACGCCTTGACCCTTCACCGAATGCAGCGGAGCTGAGAGCACTAGAAACCATTTGTGGGGCAGTTTTCAGTTTACAGAAAAATTGGCCAGAGAGTCATCAAGCCCCCGTCTCCCAATACCCAGCTTCCTCTTACTGATCCGCTGCAGTCCTGATGAGCCAAGTACAGCCCAAAGTTTACCTCCGGATTGGCTCTGTCTGGGTGGTACAATCCCATGGCTGTTGCGATTTATTTATTTCCATTTCCTCTCCCCAGCCCCCTTCCCGCAGGCCCTGGTAACCACTCTGAGGACTTGGGTCCGTTCTGGAGTGCTCCTTTGAGGGGGTGCCGCCAACCTTGTGTGTCAGCCCTTGATCACGCAGCATCACACAGTCCAACAAGGAGACCAGGTTTCCTGCTTGGCAGCTTGCTTCCACCTCTTAGTACTTCGGCTGCAGGTTTGGTGCAGCCATCCCCTCAGCGACAATGCCATGTGTCTGCCCTCACAGTTTCACACAGACTCATTCCACCGTGTGCCCCCTGTCCCCTCCTCCCACACCCCTGGTGACCACTGATCCAAAGAGATACCTTGGATGCAGAATGAGGGCTACCAGGAGAGGGCCACCCTGTAGTCAAGAGATTCCAGAATGCTTGGTTTGGGGGTTGTTTTGCTTTTTAAAAAGAGCTTTAATCAGGCAGATTGCTCATTAGGGAACAGGTGGCACTAGGACCACCATCAGAAGAAAAGGTGAAACTAATATCCCTTAATTTGAATTCCAAATTTGGGTCTGGAAGTGACTTAGCGAACTGGCTGAGGGTGGACGAGAGCGGCTGCTGTAAACTCGCCTTTTTCTTTCCTTCCGGAGCACATGACGGTGGTTGCTGAGCCGTGACGCAGGCTCGGGTCCTGGGCGGCCCAGCCAGTGTTCCCACATGGCCCCAGGGCGGCTCCAGTCTGAGCAGGGTCTTTCCTGGATCAGGAAGAGTTGAGGGTCCTTTAAGATTGCTTTCTCGGAGTCCTGATGGCATAGCGGGTTACCTGTGGGGCAGCTGACCACAAAGTCAACAGCTTGACACAACCAGACAAGACTTTCCACTCCCCTAAAGAGTTACCACCCAGGAACTCACGGGAACATAAAGAGTTACCATCCGGGAACCCACGGGAACAGTGCACTCAACGGCTGTCATTTGGGTTTTGTGTGTAGAGCCCACATTTTGGTCACTTGACCTGTCCCCACCTTTTGGTGGACCCGTAGCTGTTTGCCTCCCTGCTTTCAGAACTGGAGGGCTCACACAAATTCCTGGCTCCCGGGAGGACCAACCATGATCGGGTCAGTGCCTTGTGCACCTCCCTCGCCAGCACAGCAGGTCGCTTACGTGTACCTGTTTGGAACGTTGCATGTGTGGAGTCGGGCGATCTCTAATTCTCTCAAAACCTGCTTTTTCTCTCAACTGCAGGATCCCTGCGACAATGGGCCTGCTCTTGGCTCAGTCCGCCTTTGGGTGGCTTCAGAAACCGCCTCTAGGGTCGCTCAGACAAGAAGGCAGTCAGTTTGTCCTATGACCGACTGAGGAGCTGCAATGGCCCCTGGTTGGAGAGGCGTGTGTTTCTGAGTGCCTTGCTCTGAGTGTCTCTCCGGCTCACACTGGGTGCCGTCTCTGTAAGTTGTCCAAATGTTGGTTGACAAACCAATACTCCCGGGAGAGTGGGGGGACTGGGCACTAGCTACCAAGGCCAACCCCTCAGAACCACACGGAGGTAAAACTGGACCCAAGGAACTGGAGCTCTCTCCTATCTCACCGGGGGAAAGCAGTTTGGCTAGATCTTACTGAGGAACCACTTCTAAAGGAGCCTTGCAAGGCCCCAGGAGCATTGCAAAAATCTACACACGTACACGTAGTGGAATCTGGCTTTGGGTCCCCGTGTCTGTTTCCTGGTCCGGATAGCGATCTATAGTTGTGCAAGATGCTAGCCCCAGGGGAGGCTGGGGGAGGGTGAACATTTCTGACAACTCCCTGGGAATCTGCAGCATTTCACCTGGTAAAAATTCCAGGAGAAAACAAGGGTATGAACGAAGGAGACCCGCCAACAGTCCCATGTCGTTGCGGCTGGCAGATCACTGTCCTCGTAATTTGGTGCGCCTTTGAACTTTTTCCTGAGAAGCAGTTTTGTCCAGTTGAATGAATGAGTGGGGTATTAATGAATAACTCGAGGCCAAACCTGCCATTCCATAGATAATGGCGCTAAGACCAAGAGGGGCAGAGACCTGGTCAAGGTCACACTGAGACAGGGAGGCAAACAGGATTCCAGCTCAACTCTTCAAATCTATTTTTCAGCCTTTGTACAAGGGCTGCATCGACACGTACCTGCTGTAAAACGAGGAAGGCACAAAACGGCTCTCTCAAGTCAGGGTTTTTTGGAGGCAGGAAGGGACCGGGTGCCCAGAGGCCCCATGAGACATTTTGCTCAAGAAACGATCAATGGAAGGTCTGGTGTGTTTGAACATCTTGAGAAAAGATTTACACAAGCGGACGATAAGTGCGAGCCCAGCGCCAATGATTAACTCCTGAGAAAACATGGGCTGCGCAAGGAAGACACGTCAGCTTGCTCCGTGTGGCCCCCGGGCATGACACGGAGGTGGCTGGGTGATTTTCAATGAGGGGGGGATAGGAAGTGGGGGTGGGGAGAACAGCCTCCTGGGTGACAAAGGTCTGACAGATGCCACTGCTCACCTCGCTCTTCATCCATCAGCCTCTGCTTCCTCTTGTCCCTCTGGGTGGCCTGTCCTTGCCCTACCGTCATGCCGCCAGGTTCTCCCCGACACCACCCTCTCGTCAGGAGATGCCATCCTTACCCCCACGACCCGTCCAGCTCCTCTTGGCAGCCAGATCGTCCACCATTTTGCCCCGTCTCCCCTCAGACCTCTCCGTCAGCCTTCCTGCCTCACAAGAAACCAGCTTCGCTGTGTGGCCTTGTCCCACAATCCTTCCTCTGCCCTCGCCTTGCCCGCCTCTGGGCAACATGCCACCCAC